CAGGAATGCTAACTGTTTCCTTGAAGTTGCATGATAAATAATGTTATTTTACATATCCTCCAAAAAACTATTCAGAATGAATTTTTCCTTCCTTTTGATTCCACCTTTGCACCATATGAAATAATGAGTTGATTTCAAACTGTGTTCTAGGCCTGTTTCCCATTGTCATAAATGGGATGCTGTGGGCATGTTATTGCTAACAGGTTAAGATGTATAAAATTATTTAATATAAATCAGTAGTATTTTATACAAAATTATCATTATTGTTTTTAGATAATAAATCATAGGTAGAAAATATTTTCCAGTACCTGAATCATTAATAAAACCTGTTATAAATGAGAGCATATGGACAGCATAGCGCTGTAATAAACACAGGTCAGAGAAAGGAACATTTATTTATTTATTTTTTACATAGTTTTGGATCTGTATGAGGAGATGTGTTTTCTGAGATGCAATGCATGCTGATCATCCTTTTAACTAATAGGTGCGTAAGAAAAGTGATTTATCATAAACTGAAAGCAGACAATCATGTGCACATGTTTCTCTGAATCGGTGGGGTTCTGCCCCCCAGCTGCCAGGGCTACAGGGCCAGGGACCCAGGTCCACTGCCCCCTGCCCTGCCCCCCCATCAGTGACCGAACCCTGGCTGTTGCCCATGGGAGGCAACAACTGCAGCAGTGGAGCAGAGCATGGAGCCTGGTTCCCCTTCCCCCCCATGGGTGGCATGGCCTGAGAGGAGTGGCAGGGATGATTGTGGGCTTGGGCTTTCTGTCCTGCTGCCAGGGCTCCACAGCTCAGCAGGCAGGAGCTGGCATGGCAGGGCAGAGTGGGGCTGGGCAGGGAAGCTCCTTGCTGCTGCAAGTCCTATGCTGCCTTGGTGAGGTGCCCCCTGCCCGCCCAGCAGCACTGAAGGCCACAAGTCTGTGCTGCTGTCCCCACTGCTTCTGGGCAGGCAGGGGGTGCTGGCCCAGGGTGGCGCAGGGCTTGCGGAGGCAAAGAGCTTCCCCATCCAGCCCTGCTTTACCCTGCTGTGTCAGGTCCCACCTACTGGGCCACCAGAGGCCATGGGGGGAAGGCAACAGGGTGGGGAGCCCCAAGCCCCACAATGGGCAGCTTGCCCTTGCCCCCAGCTGTGCACAGATTTGGGGGGCACATGCCTCCTTTGGCCCCCTCACAGGAGCATACACAGTGGCCGGGAGCTAGCCCCACTCCCTGCCCCCAAGACAAGCCGCCTGTGGTCCCTTCCTGCTGGGGCCCTGTGGCGGTGCATTCAGACCCTGGGCCCCAAGCCCCATATGCCGCCCAGCTGGGCAGTAGTCCCAGCCCTGCTCAACTCCGTTCTATGGGGCCTCCTGCTCTCAACTCCCTATGGGGGCCTCAATCCCCCCTCACCCCTTCCACCCAACTTACCTGCAGGAGTTGTTCTCCAGCACGTGCACATGGCACCCCCTGCCTAACTGCTCTCCTGCTGCTCCCCCCAGCCCCTTGCAGGCCGGAACTCTGCCACCCTGCAGAGAGCTTTTCGCAAAGGTGGAAATCCACGTGTTTCTGTTAAAATGAGAAGTCCACATTTTTCCTTAGTTAAAAAGGAAAAATCCACATTTTTTTCTGTTTCCCATGGGAAATGGAAAACACGGATTCCTGTTGATGAAATCCAGTTGCTCTTGGAACAATGATCATCTCAAGGAAAGCCATGGAGGAATTAATTTCAAACGGTGTTTCTCAAGCAACGTCAGTATAGACCACATCATTACTAGACCAAATAATGAGGAGTAAAATGACCAAGGTTCATTCACCTGCACTTCTGCCAGAGTCGTGTATGCCAGCACCTGGTTACTGTGCCCCTCTAAGGTCTACATTGAACAGCCAGGGCATCCCTACTTGTAAAAATAAATGCCAGTCTAAGACACACAGGTCTGCAGCACAGTACTTGAACTTTCCTGGACATTCCATTTCCAACCTCAGGATAGTTGTTCATAGTCAATAAAACTTTAAAAACTAACTTGAATGGGAAATTACAGAACAAGAAATACCTGGTGTTAGGTATAGTTTAAATCTGGACTATGGATTCTTATCCCATTACCTGGATTAGCTTTTATGACCCTCCCCCCCCCCTTTGTTTCTAGGTGTTTATTGCTTGATTATTTGCCTCATCCAACACTTTCCTACTCCCCACCTTTTGTATTCAAACCACACTGTATACACTGCTCTGCGTGTGTCCTTTCACAGCATCTAATCAAGAGAGTTCAGGCTTACAAAAGCTCATGCTAGATCTCTGATTTACTCAACCTATAAGGTACAAATGTGCCCTGTCTTCAGACTAATATGACTGAGTACCTCTCTAACTCAAGATCAGTTTGGCTATTGTAGAACTAGGATGTCTTGTACCTGTAATTTTCTTTGGATGCAGCTTCATTGTTGGAAACTGTTTTGTATCTGAGCTTGTGGTAGAATTTTTACCACCTGAAGTTGTTTGTCTTAACATTAAGTTGTATATATATTGGTGAACACCTGTCTGAGCCTTGCATTATTGCTTCCATAATGGTGGCAGACTCATTGAGAATTATAGATTACAGATCTAGTGTAGATAATATTCTTCTAATATTTCTCTCTCCTTTTGGTAGCAAGATAGTTGTTGGAATTCACAAAGTTTAGCTGGAAATTCGGCAAAGCCTGTACTCCCATCTGTATTGTTAGACTTGCTGTTAACCGATCAATATTGTAACTAGAGTCCACAGATTAATTTATATTGGAGTGGGCAGGCAAGTATTTAAAATACTGAG